GAAATTTGAATTAAGTACACATTAAATGACTAAAATCAATATCCAATCTAACACCAGATTTTTATTAAATTTTAATCTTTTTCAAGGATTAAAGTTCAAAAACCCCTAAAAAAATTCAGATTCATGCATGTTTGATCAAGAAATCACGTTAGTTGTACAAATTAAACTAGTGGTGCTAATAGACTGAAACTACACAAATACAACAAACTATATATATGGGAATTGGATCCTCTCCTAAGCACAAGCTCAGGATCCTGCTAACCAGTCCACGTGAGCCGTTGAATTCTGATCAAATGGCTACAAACAGAGGGTCATTTTAAAAGTTATAATCATTGTAGTCGTTGGATCAAAATCCAACGGCTCACGTGGGCTGGTCAGGAGGATCCTGAGCTTGTGCTCAGGAGAGGATCCAATTCCATATATACGAATAAGTTAAAATGAGTAAACTACAAAAATTATTAATGTAAAGAGAGATTTTAATTTTATTAATGAGAGCTACAAATTTTGGGTTCATACCTACGAGTCTACGACTTTTGTTCTTTTTTTTTTTTTTGAAAAAGTATGTTTACTACTACGCCTACATTCTAGTGCATACACATTTTTTCTTACAAGTTGAAACTTCCAGTCACTTTCTTCAACTCCAATTTTCAAACATGGCGTAGTTTTAGAGGTTATTCAAGGGGAGAAACAGAGGGGGGGTTACATGGTTAAAGTACGATTAGCAGTTTTTTCGAATATCGAAATTCGGGATGGATGAGATTATTAACGGAATATTATGGTTTTACTGGAACTCAGGAAGCTGTATACATTGCCTAATCCATGTTGTTCATCTAATGGGAAGGATACAGAGTGTCTCGATAGGCTAATTAATGAAGAGGAATAGGTTTTGGCATGAAGTAATGGAAGTAAGGCTCTTGGATGAAGATGATTTCGTTACGAAAATCTTACAAATTAGATGGATGTGAGTTAGGAATGATGGTTACTTATACTAGACTATCATACTTTTGCTTCACATTTTCTTGTTTAAGATATATTCATATTCACGTTATTATGGTCGTTACTTATTTAAAACAAAAATTTATGAGATCGAAATTATCATTACATATTATTGTATATAAGTTATTCAATAATAACTTTTAATGTGGATGTATCCAACAATATATGAGGTGCTAATAAGAAACCCTTTTAAAATTTACAATAGATTGAAAGATTTCTTCTTCGTAACCACTATAACAGAACACATGACAAATTTAAAAGAGAAGTTCAAACACAATCCAAGTGGAATTCTACAATAATGCGTATGTAATGATGTATGTATGTATATACATAGAGAGAGGAGAACTCAATTTAAACACTATTTTTGGCTTCTCAATATTCTTATTTATTTTTTGCTATTAAATTGAATAAATTAATTAAAAAAAACAACAAATAAGGTTAATAAATGGTGCGCATCAAGAGAAAAATGGTGTGTTTATCATTTTCTAATGCTTGCATTAAATTACCATATCCATATCATGCATGAAATAAATTGAATGCATCTAAATCTCAAAGTAAAACCTCACATTTTGGATTATGTTTTCGCAATATATATGGAGAGATTTTACCCACCTCCAGGAAAGTATAGTTTTATTTAAACTAATTAAGATTTTGGCCCTCTACATACATTATCAACTAGTGTTGAGTTGTGCCAGTCGTATAATGCTTTATTGAGTTTAGTCTTCTTTTTCAACTCATCGTATTTTAATGTCACATCATTTCCCTCTCATTTTAGTATAGATTAATAAAAAATATAGCGTACAATAAAAAAATTAATTTTAAATTACATATTTTAATTCCATCATTTTACTGAAGTCAAGTGGATTATTTGGACCAAAAATTCATGCGTATCCAAAACATCTGTAATCGCGGGATGTTTGACTAAAGAGTCAAGGCTTTTTTTTTTTTTTTTTTGCTCGGGAACGTCTTAAGACCGGACCTGTTTTCTACGAGGGATATTCGAACCAATTTCCCTTTTTAACTTTTTCACCTGCTTTGGGCCCGTAATCAACATGTACATTAACATAATATACAACTTGACATGAATCTGCCCATCGCATTCAATGAGATTTCGGTTGGTGGTGCACTGGTCATGGAGAAGGAACTTGCGAGGAAATGTCTTGATTTGGTTTTGTTGAATAAAATATCAACCGCATTATCAAAAAATAAAACAAAAGTATGATGTTTTGGACTAAGCAAAGAGTAAAGGCTGCACGTCTGCTTAGGTGGCCGAAAGTAAGCCACCGTCACTTGTCCCAGCAGTACATTGAACTATCAACCATCATATTTTATAATTAAAACAAAAGTATAATGTTTTGGACTAAGCAGAGAGTTAAGGGCAGGCAGGTCTGCTGGTGGCCGAGAATCTAGTCCATCACAAACCTTTTCAAACTATAAATAAATAAATAAATCAATGCTCCAATTTCTCATTAATATCTACATAAAATATACAAACGTAGAACATAGGTTGTCAGACCCAAGTGTTCGTTTTTTTATTTTCTTATCAAGACTTCTATGCATTATGTAAACGAAATGCTAAAAAGACTTTCTCAAAATGGAACTTTTTATGAACTTTGTGCTACCTCACACTTTGAAGTTTATTCCTTTCAAAGAGCATCTCCGAAACTATACAAAGCGCCAAGCTATAAATAATTATACACTCAGTCTGTACAAGCAGATTAGCAATGAATTTTTTATAGCTGATAGAAAATGCAAAATGTTTAAAAATAAAAAGTTCACTTTTTGGTTGGCCAAAAAACTTTCTGCTCTGCAAGATGTAAAATTCTTCGCCGCAAAAAGTAAATAAATATGTGAATTTACATCCTACTTTCACATCTTAGGAGGCGGGCTTGCGAATTAAAGAGAGAAAAGTGAATGTAATTCTAAGTTTTTTTTTTCTTTATATAAATTGAGATGTAAATGGAAATGTACATCTCAAATTTATATTTTTTTTTATTCAAAAAGATGCTTCAACTAACCCTATTCTTCTCACTAAATAGCCGGAGCATCTTTAATATAAAAAATGACGATGTAAGTTCTATGTAGTTTTTAATGTGTTCGGTTTCGGGGCACTTTGAAAATCTTTCAAGACTTATGTTCACAGCTTAGATTAATCGGACGGGATGATATGCCATGCTTTATTATACAAATTGAGAAAAAAATTATTTTAAATGTCTCTCCACTTGTATAATTATATATAATATAGGTACTATATTTCAGACATATTGAAAAATCTCTCCAAAAGCACCAACACCAATCCTTCCACTCCACTCTACCCATCGAAACGAAAGAACCAAATTCACTTTCTCCTTTGTGGGTTCTCTCTCTTTTGTACCACATTTGAAACAGCGTTTGAAGGAACTTGGAAGTTAACTTCCAAAACTTTCACAAGTGATATGTAAAAGCAACAGAGGCAGAGCATATCGAGGGTCCTCAAATTGAAATACAAATTTAATCATATGAAAGGGTGGTGTCAAAGTTCCGAAAGGTTATTTAATATTTCGTCTTAACAGGTGGAGTTGCTCTAAGGGATACATAAAACAAAAGTTCAGCTTGCAGTGCATTATTGGAAAAACTAGCACGCTCAAGCGCATGCAGAAGGCATTTTGTGAATCACCGCGTGCTACGTGCGACTTACATGTTTTAAATGTATTTATATGCGTAAATTGACAAAAAAAAAAGTCAAATATTTGAAGTAAATGAATAATCTTAGATCATGCTAGAAGAAACCCCTCATAAACCAATTAAAGCAGCTGAATCCACATAATAAAGTCGGTCTCTATTGAATTTATATTAAGAATAGAGAAAAAAATATTTAATAAACAATTGATTAAATCATATTATTGCTAGCTCATTGTGAGACTAAGTCCACCCCATCCCCCTTAGTGTAGATAATATCGTTTGTTAAAAAAAAAAACAATCATTTGACAACTAATTTAATCACATTATTATCCAGTGCGTAAGACCTTTTTTTATAACCAGCATTACACGTATCTTAAGATGTTTTGCATGTGTTTAAAAATAGAGAAAATAATATTTAATGAAGAACTGATTGAATCACATTATTGCTAGCCTATTGTGAGATACCAATTATTTATTAAAAAAAAACTGTACGAAAAAAAAATTATTAAAAAACACTGTTAAAATAACGAAAAATACCTCTACTATATTTAATGCATTATTTTGTATTGCTTTTGAAGTTTTTTGTTTGAAGGCTTGGATCAAGAAATAGTCCAAATTTTTATCAAACCTCCTGCATTATTGGAAGTAGTATGACCTTTGCTAAAAGATAGGGCATGGATCAAGAAATAGTCCAAATTTTTATCATTTCATACAAATTTTTTAGTCATTGGAGAAACGTCCAAAGTGGCATTTCTGTATTCGTTTGTGGTGAGATACCACTTTATCGTTTCTTGTCGAGAAAAAAAATGTATCATCTTTTAGCATGTTATCATCTCAGCCCATTTTTTTTACTTTTACAAATTGCCACCATGAGAGATTGTTGGTAACGAGGCCCAAACCTAAAATTTGGATTAGCGTAGAAAACAACTCTTACCAACTTAAACAATCACGTTGATAGAGACTTTGAAATTGTATAAAACAGTAGCTCAAAAACAAAAAAAGGTCGTACCCAGTGCACAAGGCTCCCGCTTTACGTAGGGTCTGGAAGAGGTGAATGTCGGCTAACCTTACCCCCATTTATGGAGAGGCTGCTCCCAAGTCTCGAACCCGAGATCTACCGCTCATGAGCGAAGGCACTTGCCATCGCACCAAGTGCGACCTCTAGCTCAAAAACAAAAACAAAAATAAAAAAACATCACAAGTTTATTTCTTGGATGAAGTCCATGTCCACCAAACAGAATCTCAATGAAGAGCAGATTCGTGCATAAAGAAGCATTTGCAAAAGTTAAATCAAGCATCATGTACCAAAACATAAGACCACAAGACAAGAAAGACCCGACAAGGAGCTTAAAATGTTCAAAAAAGTGTTCCATTAGTTATCGAAATTTGATCAACTTTCATCGTCTTACAACATAAGCGCGGAGAATTACATTCTGATACCTTTCAAAAATAACTACTTACAAAAGTAGAAACCACCAGTATGTTCAATGGTGGCTGTTAAAATGGTCATTTTACCAATCTGCCGTCCTGTTTTCTCAAACTGTGCACTTCTAGCAAGAACGAAACTAAATTTACAGCCATTTCGGAATCCTGTCTTTCGCTGAGTTAAGTATCCAAAAGTCAGCAGAATCTAACAGAGTTTACAACCTACCAAAATATTGCCTCCAACGCAGACTTGTTAGCCATGAGATAGACCTACAAAAATCAAATCCGTTACTCAAAGAAAACATGTCATTCCCTGAAAACCGTCTCATTCTCATTTACTCTTCATTATCTAGAGTATGGACTGCACAGAGAAGGACCTCCATTCCCCCTCTACCTTGTTCTGATTCCCTGTCATCCCCTTTTTCCTTCAACTTCTTTAAACCTTCACAGTTCGCTCTCTGTGTCTTTTCTTTCTTATCATAAGCCTTTCTTGCCTTGCGTATGGCCTTAATTCCGGTATCACATTTTTTGCAAAACCATTTTCCAGCTGGAATGGAAGTGCGTGGTGGTTCCATGCAATAGAGGTGGTACCCGTGATCACAACCGTCACAAAGCACAATCATATCATCATCTTTATCAATGAGACAATTTCTGCATAGGCAAGAATAGCAGTACCAACAGGGGCCGTAAGATCTTAACTGGTTAGTTGTCAGACACCTCACATGGTAGTATTTCTTGGGGCAGTATGGATGACCACATGTCCTCAAACTATCATTGTTTTTTACCTCAAGTCCACAAGTTTTGCAAATTGTTTTGCTTTCTTCCGATAGCTGGATTCCATCATCTGCACTCCATTTTGAATTTTCACCTGTCTCATTGATTGTTTCTTCTTCTGTAGAAACACTTTCACCTCCAACTCCATCAACTACAGTCTTGGCCACGTTCAACTTCTCACACACGACACAGTTCTCATGGGGTGATCCAATACCACTTGCAGTGCACCTACTACAATACCAACTTGGAGGAATTTCTTTGACAGCAGGCTCAATGCAAGAGATATGGTACATCTCCTCACATGAATCACATACTAAACAATCCTTCCCATTTGCATGGCATCCGCAGCACCTGCAAGTGCATGCACTGTGCACACCACAATCCTCTGTTTGCTCCAGTTTAGCATCAGGGTCAGATCCCAAGTGGTAGAACTGTTTTAAAGTGACAAACGTTAGTATACTACTAAAAACAGCTGATCAATGCCTTGAAATAAAATCGTAAGCATGATAACTGAGATGCATTTAACCAGACATGAAGTAGATTGACAATGAAAACCACATAAATTGTTTTCAGAATTCTTTAGTTGTCAGGTGACTCCATTCTCATCACAATAATTAAACAAATCACTGTTTTCACATATCCCAGAAGACATGAAACCTTAAATATGCTGAGAGGGCAAAATCCTACAAGTGACAAGTATGCAAAAGGAAAATAGGCAATAGTTAGAAAAGTGAAAGAAACAACTAGCTTAAAAGCGTAAAAACATAAGAATATTAGGAGATTTCTGAAAACGTTTCCTAAATTTCTATTTCCAAGGCACCACATTTCATCAGATGTCTCTGATTCAGTAAACTCAATTCTATGTTAAAATTTGAAAACTCTTGTACCTCATTTTTTCCATATTTCAATGTATTGCGGATTGAACCTCCCACCTGAGATGACAGATAAAATAATTTGTGAGATCAGGCTTACAACACCACAGAGTGAACATACAATAAGTTATTTCTAGAAGTAATAGATTTCTTTAAACTACATCTTCAGGTATTTGGACTAGACATCTCTTCAACTGAATCACCTAACCTGTTCATTGTAAGAAGCCCTAGACATGTCCGAGAGGTTTCTTGCAAGAGAAATCAAGTCCGTACCGATCACTTGAAGTTTTCTCCATACCTGTAAAATATTCAGGTTCGGAATATGTAATTGACACACCAAAAAAAGGCGGAATATGATGAGACAATTTAGACTTTAAGACATAATTAGTGAAACAGGTGGGAGAATTTCAAAGTGTATATCATTCACACATATACATGTCAAAAAGAAACAATAATTAGAATCATATATCATGTATATCAAGCATCAGAAAGATGGTCATTCAAAAGGAAAGCAACCAAAAATGTTCACCTGTCTCCAGGTACCTATGCCTCACCATGACACATACATTAGCCAATAAAATTTAAGACCACCAAAACGTTGCAAAAAATTTAAAACTAATATCCAAACCTCGCTTGTACAAATAGTTTTCTGGTACTTTCTAACATTTACAGAATCTTTTTCACTCATAAATATGCCAAGTGATGGGATCAAAATTTTCATGTACCAGATCATTTCACTATCAAAATCACCTTTTAAAGATTTAGAGTCAATGAGTGTTTTCACAAAGCAGGATTTTAGAGTTTGTATTTGTATAGCAGTAAATCTCATTCCATCAACATGATACGCCTTACTAAAGCAGAGTATCCAATTGACTGTTCTTTTCAGCACACATTAAATTCAGAGACCATAATATTTAAAGAGATTTCACCAACCAATACCTTCAACTTGAACCAAATAACGAAGAGCATCCTGAAAATACGTCAATCATATGTTCATAATCATCCCAAAATGGTAACCATATGAAAGTATTACTTTTAAAGTTATCTGTCGTACCAAACATGCTTTGAATCATTAACCACATATTATCACATTCACACCATGATATTAAGCAAAATATAAGCATGTATTATCATGACAGCTATAACATAAGACTATCCAACTTGCCTGTTGCATATCATTTGAGAAGAGCATTGGAGAATGCTCATAATCTCCCCCTTTCATCCTTGAGTTTATGAGACTAAAGTCGAAAACGCTGTCAGCCTTGATTCCTTGAAAATTTTGCAGCAGGACTTTGCACAATGAGGTGAACGTTTCGGAAACTAAAACATTATAAAAAGCACGCTGACACATCGCTGTAACTGTATGATGGTTTGATTTATTTGAAAATCCATTCGATACAACACCAGCATTCATGCTGGCTGCCTTTTGAGATCCATTCAATATAGACTGTGTCAGAAAACAGCATCGGTGCCTATCCTCATGATCACCAGATTCCTGCAAAACAATAAATATAACAGAATTTAAAAATCAAATTATCTTGAAACTCAAAAGTATGAAAGCAATGGCCAATAGCCTATAAATCTGGCTATTATATGTAGAACACACGAACTCTTGGTTGCAGCACAAACCTTAACTCGCGTTGTGTGATCAATCTCTCGAAAATGTGCAAGTGCTTCTCGGATGCACACTTGTACACCACCTTCATCATCGCCTAATGACTGATACATGTTCTCCAGCACAGCTTCTGTACAGTTCCTCTCTGAGCATGCATCTGAACTGTTCATTCGAACATGGACTTGCTCACAAGAGTTACTGTGTATATCTGTGCCCACTGGTTCCTTTAGACGCTACAGAAATCAAACATGTTGAATGAGAAAAAAAAAGACCAAATAGTCCCATTGGCTGGATTGAAGGAAATGTAACCGAAGACATACATATATCTCTATGTGTGTATATACAACTTTTTATTCCAGGACAGCATAGATTACATAACATTTGTAGCACATTGTAGCTAAATTAGCCATATTGTAAAGCACCACAATGAGGTATTCGTGATCCAGGGAAGAATGCTCATACATTGCTCCCATTGTTAATCACAATTTTCAAAGCTTCAAGTAAAATGATTAACCCTTTATAAATCACAAAAATTCAACTTGCAATCGATAAATTCTCTTTCACAATTACCCTGAAAAATAAACCTCTCTCATTTTCCTCCTATTAGCAGTGCCCCCTAAATAGCCTAATGAGTTCTCAAATGCGTTAATGAGAAAAGTAATATGTGGTCCTCCCTAAGTCTTCATTGTTCCGAGTTAAAAACTAAACTTTAAACTCATTGGGCGCTCAAAATTTATGAGCCTTGTTATAATTTTTACATAAGGATGTGATTCATAAGCTAATTTTTCTGTCTAAACTAAGTACAGCTTACCAGTGCTCAAGTCAAATTCCGTTAAAATTCAACACAAAAAATTACAGGGGAGAAAGGAGATCAGCAAACATACTAGAATATTACAGTCCTGCTTTACAAATTGTCTAAGTAATAAAGAATATGGTTTTTGTCAACATGAAATAATAGCGCAGAGAAAGAGCTACAGGAAGCACCTGGTTTGCCAATTGACTCGATGATTCCACATCAGCTCCCCCACCATCCTGTGACTTGCTATCCCAACTGAACCTCGCCTGCCTCCGCCTCTTGTAAGTTCGAACACCCTCACTTGCGCCAGAGCTGCCTTTGGCAATGTCAGTAGAATTCCCAAAACCAAATCCATTGGATTCACTCTTCAAGCATTCAACTTCCTTCTCGCATTCCATACTACCACCATTGCTTTTACCTTCTTCAACTCCCATTCCGAATCAAACCTACTTTTCTCACACTTCACAGTGCGAAAAATAGGGTTTCACAGCAGCAACCTAGGTTACAAATTCCAATGTTTTCAGCACTTGGAAAATTTCAGAAACCCAAAAAATGAAAATACCAGAAGACATACAAACCAAACCAGTCACAGTAAAATCCCCCATTGTTTGGTAGCCGAGAAAAATACAAAACTTCAAAGTCTCTAGCTTTCAATCTCTTAAGAAGCAAATCTAAAATTCAACTAAGCTAAACCAACCCAAATCTTCGAATCCTTAGTAAAACGCAATTTGTTGCTTACATCGAGCAAACTGAGAATTTAAAGTTCAAGACTTGGTTTTCCTTTTCCTTTCTGTTCATACACTTTCTCGGCCACCAAACAGAAAACAAAACTCACAAACAATACAAAGTGCAAAAGAGAGAGAGCGAGAGAGAAGAAAGCTGACCTGAGGGAACAATTTGGAGCACCCAAAAGAGAATCGAAACCCTAGAAATCTGAGGAGGAGCGGGATGTTATGACTTGTGGGAGACCTGGTTCAGTAAGATGAGATTACAGATTACTCTCTTATCTGGGAAATTTTTAACACACGGAAAGAGTTTGCGACTCGGACTGTAGAAATAGGTTATTGAGTGTTTTTTTTTTTTTTTTTTTGTGTGTGTCAAAAGAGGTTATAGATTTTTAAATAAAATTTTTAATTGTTTTGCGTGTTGTAAACAGTGGGTATGTTTGCCCACATGTGTATAGTAATGTGTATAGTAAAGTTTCACTTGCTAATAGTAAATTTTGTAAGTTTTCGTTGAGGTGGCTCTATAAATAGAGCACTTCAGTTGTTCAAAGTGTGACGAACATCAAGAAGAGAAAATGAAGAAATATAATACTCTCAGTATCCCTCATTTTATAATATCTGCAATACTTTTGTCAGTGTGATATTTTGCACCACTTCGTCTTCGCTCTTAGCAAAGGTTATTTATCTACTTTTTCCTATTTATAACACGTTATTAGCACGACTCTCTAATCATTTCTCATTTTCTCTTCGCCAAAAAAAAAGAAAAAAAAAGTTTCCTTTAAGGATTTTACTGTTCTTCTTCTTCCTCTGCCTCAACTACTGGATATACTCTCGCGAAGAATTGTTTGCATCATGTTTACTTCTGGTTCTCAAACTAACAGTTACTTATATCTTTGATTTCTTGTTTGGTGTAGATATTGACTACTAACCCACTTATTATTTATGCAATCCAAGATGGTGCGGTACTATCGCCTATCTTGGACTGCAAATCTAATTTTATAGTAATTTTAGGTGGTGTGGAATAATCACCCACTATGCTCTGATATTTAAATTTTATCGTAATTTTAGGTGGTGCGGTATAATCGTCCACCCTGCTTTGCATATTTAAATTTTATCGCAATTTTAGGTGGTGTGGAATAATCACCCACTATGCTCTGTGTATTTAATTTTATCACAATTTTAGGTGGTGTGGAATAATCACCCACCTTGCTCTGCATATTTAAATTTTATCGCAATTTTAGGTGGTGCGGTATAATCGTCCACCTGCTTTGCATATTTAAATTTTATCGCAATTTTAGGTGGTACAGTATAATCGTCCACCTTGCTCTACATATTTAAATTTTTCTACTGTTTAAAGTGGTGTGAAATAATCGCATATCCTATACCTGTTTCGATGAGAATGGTGCAGTACAATTGCCCTTCTCATTAATCATGTAAATCTCGAACCTGAAGTTTCAAGTACTTATCATTTTGGCCTGAAGATCAAAAATTTGTAAGAACCAGAAGTTCTAACAATATATTCCTCCAGAACATCTATTATTGCAAGTTCTTACACACATCATTTTTCTTTCGGAAAAGAAAATGGCAAACTTGGCAAAGCTTGATTTTGCTGCCCTGGACATTACTGGAAAAAATTACCTTACCTGGGTACTGGATACCAAGATCCATCTGGAAGCAGCGAATCTTGAAGATACCATCAGGGAAGAGAGCAACTCATCCTCTCAAGATCGAGCGAGGGCCATGATTTTTATTCGTCGCCATTTTGATGAGGCACTAAAAAGCGAGTACTTAACGGTTGAAGATCTGTTAGCCCTCTGGAAGGCCTTGAGAAACAGATACAATCACCAGACAACGGTGATTCTTCCAAGAGCTCGCTATGACTGGACTCACCTAAGGATCCAGGATTTCAAGTCAGTGGCTGAGTACAATTCGGCATTGTTCATAATTACCTCTCAGATGAAGCTCTATGGGGATACTATTACTGAGGAGATGTTATTAGAAAAGACTTTCAGCACATTCCACGCCTCTAACATGCTTCAGCAGTAGCAGTATAGAGCGCGAGGCTTCACTGAATACAACCAACTGATATATGTGCTCCTGGTAGCTGAATAGAACAATGAGATCCTGATGAAAAACCATAATTCCCGACATATTGAATCAACACCGTTCCCAAAAGTGAATGTTGATTCCCTTTAAAGGAATATCATATCCTCCCGTGGCAATAATTACAAATGAGGATGTAGCGACAAACGAGGCCGGTGGAACGGGAAAGGCAAGAACCATGGTGTCCAGTTTCACAACCAGGTTCCAAGGTATAATCCAGGCCCGAGCTTTAAAAATACAAATCGGCAAAAAGGAAAAACTCATATGAACACTCCTAGAAATCCTGAAGGAGTTTGCCATAGGTGTGATAGCAACGAACATTGGGTGCGTACTTGTTGCACCCCAAAGCATCTGGTGGAGCTGTATCAAGCCTCCTTCAAGGAAAAGGGTGTCGAGATCAATTTCTTCGACCAGGCTCAACCAATGGAAACCCCTGATCCGGTGACCAATTTATCAAGACAGTTAAACACAACTCATCTGGATGCTACATACTTTATTAATGAAAGAGGGAATGAAGTTTATGGGTCCGATTGAATTATTTATGTTTAATGTACTCTTGTTATTTGTACTTGTGGTTTAATGCTCGCATTTTCAATTCAATAAAAGTAGTATACCAGTATGAATAAACTGCTTTTTCTTTACTCAAAGAACATAGATAAAAATTATGGTTATTCTTAAAACAAGATCAATGGCGGAGACTTTTGTCTTGCAAACAGCGCAACCACACATTCAATACTTCGAGATCGATTTGGTACTTGCAAAAGTAAAGGTAACAACAATATCAGGGCAATCAGATGTAATTGAAGACTCAGTAAAAGCCCAAATTATGTTACCAAATGGAAAAATATTGTCCATACATAATGCATTATACGTTACTCGATCCATTCGAAATTTGTTGAGTTTTAAAGACATACGTCTAAATGGATACCACATTGAAACGAAAAGTGTAGAAAATTTGGAATATTTATGCATTACCTCCAATGATACCCAGAAGCGTATATTAGAGAAGTTGCATGGTTTATCGAGTGGATTGTATTATACATACATAAAGACAGTTGAGGCATATACTATCATGAACCAGAAGTTCATTAATTCAAAGGTTTACATGCTTTGGCATGATCATCTAGGTCATCCAGGATCTACCATGATGCATAGAATCATTACCAACTCTAATGGACATCCATTATTGAGTAGACACATTGATGTCTCAAATGATAACCCTTGCAAGGCTTGTTCCTAAGGGAAGTTGGTAATTAGACCATCACAACTAAGGTTGATGATGAATCCCCATTATTTTTACAAATAATTCAAGGAGATATTTGTAGACCTATTCAACCACCTTGTGGACCATTTCGATATTTTATGGTTTTGATTGATGCATCTACCCAATGGTCACATGTTTGTCTATTGTCTACTCGAAATGTAGCTTTTGCGATACTTCTTGCTCAGATAATTAAGTTGCGAGCACAGTTCCCAGATCATCCCATTAAGTCCATTAGACTTGATAACGCTGGTGAATTTACATCTCAAACCTTTGATGATTACTGCATGGCACTGGGCATTGATGTTGAACATCCTATTCCTCATGTCCATACTCAAAATGGTTTAGCAAAGGCATTTATCAAGCAACATCAATTAATAGTCCGCACTCTGCTCATGAAAACAAAATTGCCAGTCTCTGCATGGGGACATGTCATCTTACATGCAACATCATTGGTTTGACTGAGACCCATAGCCAACCACCAAAACTCATAAATATAACTCATGTTTGGACATCAGCCAAACATTTCACATTTACGAGTTTTTAGTTGTGTTGTTTATGTGCCTATTACACCGACACAACGAACTAAAAAGAGGACCTCAGCGCAAACTGGGAATTTATATGGGTTTTGATTCACCATCTATCATTAGATATTTGGAACCTTTGACTGGTGATATGTTTACAGCTCGTTTTGCTGATTGTCATTTTGATGAGATAGTTTTCCTATCGTTAGGGGAGAAAATACCGTTCCAGAAGAACGGCAAGAGCTAACATGGATTGTTCCCACCTTATCTCATTTTGATCCACGAAGCACTCAATGTGAAAATGAAGTGAAAATGATCGTTCATCTTCAAGGTATTGCTAATCAAATGCCAGATGCATTTAATGATGCTTCAAAAGTGACAAAGTCGCATATACCAAATGCAAACACACCTGCAAGAATTGATGTCCCTGTTGGACAAAATAAAATGGCAGCGAATGATTCATCCAGTGCACGTCTGAAGCGTGGTAGACCCCTAGGTTCAAAAGATTCAGCCCTTCGAAAGAGAAAGATGATGGCACAGTTGAACCCACATGAAATCATTCAGGAAAAGAAAATGAATGATAAATCCACAATTCATGATTTTGTACTTCCAGAAAAAGAAAATGTCATTGATGAGACACATGTCCCTAAAGAGACAGAAGTACATGAAAGCAAAGAAATATCCATAAATTATGCATGTACTAATGAATTGTGGGATCGAAATGAAATAATCATTGACGACATATTTGCATTTGCAATAGCCACTGAAATTACATTTAGCAATGACATTGAGCCCCGCTCTGCTGAAGAATGCAAACAGAGACAAGATTGGCCTAAGTGGAAAGATGCAATCCAGACAGAATTAAATTCCTTGGAAAGGCGAAATGTGTTTGGACCAGTAGTCCAAACCCCTCCTGGTGTAAACCCCGTGGGTTACAAATGAGTATTCACAAGGAAACGCAACGGAAAAACGAGATTGTAAGATATAAAGCAAGACTCGTTGCACAAGGTTTTTCATAAAGACCTGTAATTGATTATAAAGAGACGTACTTTCCTATAATGGACGCAATTACGTTTCGTTACTTAATAAGTTTGGTGATTTCAGAAAAAATTGACATGCGACTTATGGATGTTATCACCGCGTATCTATATAGAGAATTAGATACTGATATATATATGAAAGCCCCAGAAGGACTTAAGTTGCCTGAAACAACTAACAAACCACGAGGTATGTTCTCAATCAAATTAAGGCGATCACTGTATGGGTTGAACCAATTTGGGCGAATGTGGTATAACCGTCTTAGTGAGTATTTGATTAAAAAAGGATATGCCAACAATGTCATATACCCTTGTGTGTTCATTAAGAAATAAAATACTGAATTTGCTATAGTAGTAGTATACGTCGATGATATAAACCTAGTTGGAACCCCTGAAGAGCTCAATAAAATTGCTGAATATCTGAAAAGCGAATTTGAAATGAAAGACCTTGGGAAAACAAAATATTGTCTCGGTCTGCAGATCAAGCATTATGCTAATGGAATTTTGGTCCATCAATCAGCTTACATTGAAAAGATACTGAAGCGATTTGGCATGAACAAGGCTTATCCACTTAGCACCCCAATGGTCGTTCGTTCTTTGGACATTAAGAAAGATTCATTCCGTCCAAAAGAAGATGATGAACTGGTCCTTGGTCCAGAAGTATCATATTTGAGCGCAATAAGTGCTTTATTGTATTTAGCACAATGTACTATACTAGATATAGCTTTTTCAGTTAACTTGTTAGCCAGGTACAACTATGCTCCAACAATTCGTCATTGGAAGGGAGTCAAAGATGTTCTACGATACCTTCGTGGGATAACAGATATGGGTCTCTTCTACTCAGACAAGCCCACAAATGATCAAATCCTTGTTAGATACGCAGATGCTGGTTTTCTCTCCGATCCGCATAAAGCCCGCTCACAAAATAGATATGTGTTCACTAATGGAGATACTGCAATTTCATGACGATCAACAAAGCAAACGCTAGTTGATACATCTTCCAATCACTCGGAAATAATTGCTTTACATGAAGTAAGTCGTGAATGTTCTTGGTTAAGATCAATGATCCATCACATCTGGAATTCATGTGGTCTACCTTTAAATACACACACTCTAACTGTCATCCATGAAGAAAATGCAACATATGTCACCCAGATGAATGAAGGATTCATCAAGGGTGATAAGACTAAACACATATCTCCAAGATTTTTCAATGCACATGAGCTTCAGAAGGGTAAAGTTATTGAAGTCAGACAAATCTGTTCCAATGAAAATTTAGTAGACTTGTTCACCAAATCTCTACCAAAGTGCACATTTCAGAAGTTGGTGCAGGGAATCGGATTACGTCGGCTTACAAATTTGAAGAATGCAGAATCAGAGGGAGATACAATTCAGGATGAGCATCCATGATACATGCATGTTGTACTCTTTTTCCTTCAATTAGGATTTTTCCCACTTGGTTTTTCCTATCAAGGTTTTAACGAGGCAACATAAGCATGCTCAACACCATCCGGGTAAAGTTGTACTCTTTTTCCTTCGCTATGGTTTTTTTTTCCTGCTGGGTTTTTCCAAGCAAGGTTTTAATGAGGCAATTGATGTTGATATGTGGGCATCCAAGGATGAGTGTTGTAAACAGTGAGTATGTTTGCCCATATGTGTATAGTAAAGTTTCACATGCTAATAGTAAATTTTGTACGTTTTCGTTGAGGTGGCTCTATAAATAGAGCACTTCGGTTGTTCAAAGTGTGACGAACATCAAGATGAGAAAAGGAAGAAATATAATACTCTCAGTATCCCTCATTTTCTAATATCTACAATACTTTTGTCAGTGTGATAATTTACACCACTTCCTCCTCGCTTTTAGCAAAGGTTATTTCTCTAATTTTTTGCCTATTTATAACATTGCGCATATAAATGGTTAAAAAAATCTCTAAATTGAATAGTTTTGTGCATATAGAGTTTTTAGGTGATCATAAGGAAAATAAATAGTCTAATTATAATGTTCAGACAGTAAAAATATATTATTTGTAAATAGGGAGAAGTAAGTCCCTTATGTGAGGGACACAAGCATTATCCTTACTTTTTTTTTTGCTCATTATATATTTGTATTTTTAATCATTATTGGCTTTTTTTTTATGTTTGTTAAAACTCTACTTTGTTCTCATTTTGCATCTTAAAACTTAAGTTGCGCTACTTTATTCCCTAGAAGTCCATTTTCATCTTAATTTTGTTATATTCTGTCAAAAGCCTTAAAAATCTATTAAATGTTTGACGTGGCATGAGTGAGGCTCACCTACTTGTTAATATGTTTGTCGCATTAGTGTTGCATCAACTTAAAATATTTTTATAAATTAAAAAAAAAAAAAGAAGAGTGCATGACGGGTTTTATGAAAAATTAAAATGAATGTGTAAAACAATATTTCAAAGTGGCTATGGCAATTTCTTTTAGGTCGACGTTTGTTGGTTATTTACAACAACTTCTTGTTGCGTGGAACTTGTAAGATCGTCTCGTCAATAATTTGAAACTATTTATATAATTCGTAAAGTAATCAAGTCGTGGCACATTAGTTCATATTAGATGAAAAAAAAAGAAGCAATCAATATAGATTTATTGATTTCAAAATTTTCAAACATGATACGTCATTAAAAATTGGGATGTCAATAAATCAAATTGTTTTGAAAACTCAATTCCTTAACTTTAATGATGAATTTGATACCAAATTAAGTTCACATTATGTGACTTAGCTGAATTCTCTTTTTCTTTAAATTATATAGATTATTTGACAATTATGGTTTATGAGAGGTAAACTGGCGACAACATTAATCACTCTCTTGCGACAACATTAATCATTCGACTTCGCCACTATCTCACTCAGTCTTTCTTTAATTTCATCCGACGGAGACGATGAAGTGCATATCGTGCCTGGAGCACTACGAATCCGACGACGCCGGCACCTGCAAGGAGTGCTACGAGGAGGCCAACGAGACCGAGGAGGAGCTCAAGCGCGAGATCGACGACCTCAAGGCCAAGGTCGCCTTCCTCCGCATCACTCGCTCCCTCCCCACCTCCTTCTCCGACGTCGTTTTGGTTGCCTCCGAGGATGCCTCCGCCGGCTCCCCCGTGCCCGTGCCCGCCCATAAGGCCGTTTTGGTCAGTCCCCATTCAGATTTACCTTGTTTTTGTTGTGAACTTGTTGGTAGCTTTGTGATTGTGGGTCTTCGAGCTTGCGCACAAGTTGTTTGCTTTATTGCCTGAATGAAACGTAGGTACTGGAAAATGGTTAATTTGAGAAGAGAATTTACATTCAAGTTCCTATTTACTAATTTCTTTTGGGAAAAGTGTTCTCCTTTTCAACAATTCCATCATTTGGGTAAGTCTTGGGATTTTCATCAATTGGTAAATTTGGTTTTAACTATTTAGTTGCATTATATTATAGTCTGATTAGAAATATTGTTCTAATGACTCAGTTTGATTATATATAGGGTGTTATGAATCTATGACTCAGTTCATATATCATTCATTGAGAGGCATTAAACAAAACTTGTTTGATTATATATAGGGTGTTATGAATCCGTGAGCATTGTTATTCCATTTGTGTTTGATGTAGTTTATTGTTCATGTGGAAAGCTTTATGCTTTGAGTAGATCAAATGTTCGTGGGAAATATAGCTCTGTTTTAGCGTTTCCGTCTTTGAATTTCTTTCAAGCATTTGGTCGCTTTATCCAGGTGAGCCGTTCTCCGGTGTTCAAAGCCATGCTTGAGAATGAGATGGAAGAGAGCCTGAGTGGCACCATCAAGATCAGTGATGTGTCCTATGACGCCCTTCGTGCCTTTGTCAGCTACCTCTACACGGCAGAGGTATGCCTTGACGAGGACATGGCGTGTAACCTCCTAGTACTGGCTGAAAAATACCAAGTGCAGCATCTCAAGGTCCATTGCGAGAAGTTCTTGGTGTCAAAACTGAACTGGGAAAATTCTGTTTTGAGCTACACCTTTGCGCACCAGCATAATGCGAAGCATATCATTGACTCAGCATTGACATTGATCACAGACAACATGGACAAGCTTACTACCCGGGAGGAGTACGTGGAGCTAGTGGAGAAAGATCCACGACTTGTAGTCGAAATCTATGAAGCTTATCTCTCTAAACAGGTGAATACTGCTGCCCAGAAGGATTCTTCCGTGAAGACATAGGTGCTCGTTATCCCGACCTGAATCTAGGATTATTCTGTGAAGATATGATCATACGAGTTTCAAATTGGTCTTCTCGTTTCTTTGTATAATTAAGTAGAGGAACTAGCTAGTGAAGATACAAATATCAAGTGGTAAACTGTTTGTGGTAGCACATGGTGCATTTTGGCGTGGGGCATCACTTTACTAATCTCCAAGGCCCATGGCATCTGCCTTTCTCGCTGTGTTTTCATTGGCTTCTCTCTCTCTTTTGAACTTTCTTTTTTTTTGTTGATGCAATGGGTCACATTGGATACGAAACCGGCATACGCAACACAATCGGCTAGTCATGATTAATTATCAAACAAACCATACCAAAAGAAATATTATTATACCGTAATAGTAGTGACATTTCCTCAATGTCATTAGCTAGGACGGGCCCACAACCTCATTCTTAAAACTTTCCACAAGGTGCACAATAATTGAAGTGGCAAGACTAGTACTAGTAGAGAGTCTACTTTTGTCTTTTGGTCAATATAGTGGAGTTGAGGTTCGCATTCGTGTTTGATCATCCACTCGGAAGAATGCGAAGGCAACGGTTCATTTGCAAATCCTGCGAAGGTAGTTCCGGCGGACATGGCGTCGGCATGTACTGCAAGGGGTGCTACATGGAGCTCAAGGATAAGATTGAATTTCTCAAGTTGTGCTCGCCGTCGCCGACCACTTCTACTACTACGTCCCTGGCAGCTTCCTTCTCCGACGTCGTTCTGATTGCCTTGGACTCTGACAACTGCTCTTCTGAGCCTCCGCTGCCCGTTCAGGCTCATAAGGCCGTTCTGGTTAGTATCATTTTGCCAACCTTATGCTGCTTTACTGAATGAAGATATAAGCATGTCTAAGGGACGTTTGCTGCTGCTTTTCTAGAAAGCACTTAGGCTCATAAGTGCTTTTAATAAAACTAGTGTTTCTCTTAAATTTTCAAGTGTTTTCTAGAAAAAAAGCAATTACTTGGACAAGTTGCTTTTCCAAAGGGCATATTTGTTAATTTGCCCCCCAACTTGTATAGAGTTGCCAATTTTATCTTTGATAGCCGATTAACCTCCTGAATTTTTATAAGTAAACAATTTTCCCTTTGAACTCTAATTTTAGCCAATTATCACCGCTGAACTTTTATAAACAGTCAATTTTATCCTTGACACTAGATTTTAAAAAATTTCATCCAATTTTCCATTCATTTTGATCATACAGACAACACTTGACAACTATATGGGAGCAAAAAGAATGAAAAATTGAATGGATGAAAACATGATGAAATTTTTTAAAATATAACGCTAGAGGAGAAATTGGCTATTTATAAGATTTTAGAGAGGTAATCAACTAAAGTTAAAATTTAGGAGGAAAATTAGGGGAATATTGGTCAATTATAAAAGTTTAAGGAGGTAATAGGCTACAATTAAAGTTGAGGGGAAAATTAGAATCTCACTTGTCTAAAATTAAAGTTCAAGAAAAAATTGAAACACTTGAGAGTTTTCATACCCAACGTATTTAGGAGTTTTTATTGTCGTAAAGCACTTGTAAAGCATTATCAGCATTTTTAAGATTGCTAAAAGTGTTCTTACAATAAAAAACGTTTTTAACTAAGTTAGGTAAAAACATTTAGAAGCACTAAACAATTTCAGATTTAGCCGGTTTTTCGTGTGGATAATCTTTGAAAGAGAATTTAAAAACTGAACGGTTCTATTCGATCAACGAATCAGGTGAACCGCTCTCCGGTGTTCAGAGCCATGCTTGAGAATGAAGAGATGGAAGAAAGTCGGAGTGGTACCGTTAAGATTGCCGATGTGCGCTACGATGCCCTACAAGCTTTTGTCAACTACCTCTACTCTGCTGAGACATGCCTTAACCAGAACTTGGCATGTGACCTCCTAATACTGGCTGAAAAATACCAAGTGCAGCATCTCAAGCACTACTGCCAGAAATTCTTGGTGTCCAAGCTCAACTGGGACAATGCGCTTACGACCTACACCTTCGCTTGCTGCCATAACGCGGAGGACATCATGGACGCGGCCTTGGAAGTGATCACAGACAACATGGACAAGCTCACTACCCAGTTGGAGTACGTCAATTTGGTGGAGAAAGATCCCCAACTCGTCATCAAAATCTACGAAACTTATCTCTCCAAACAGGTTAACACTGCAGCACGTAGGAATCCATCAGTCCGCAGAGATTCTTCGAGTGGGAGTGGGATTGGGGGAGGGTCGAGCGACGGGGGAGGGAGTGGGAATGTGAGTGTGAGTGGGGGAGAGTGGAGCGACAGGTATTAGCTTTTCTTTCCCCTGTGAAAGTCTTTGTGAGAGGTTTCATTCTCATCGATTTACGTCGGCGCCGGCCCATGGTTTTGCTGTCTAATTTGCTTTTGTGGTTAGTTTTTGTTTTCAGCTTTGTCTAGCTTCTCCTAAGCCTACAATTTCCCTTCCCCTTCCCTGCAACCTTCACAATCTCTTCCTTCCTTTTCTGGTTTTGCCTTTGTTCTCACCATTCTGAGCCCATTTCTCCAATCGCCCGTTTCCTCCCTTCCCATCCCCTCCATCATCTCCTCTTTTGGCTCCATCAGCTTTATCCTCAAGTCTTAACGAATACCGCCTCTGTTTGCCGCGATTTGTCGCGAATTTATGGGAGGGTGTGTAGAGCTTTGGCTCGGGGATCACACGACCACCCTTGTTGGCCCCTGTTGGACTTTTCAGTTGTTCACCCTTGCCGGTGATGTTAAGGTCTACTCCGGCGTGCCTTGTTGGTCTCGTGCTGGTCCATGGAATATGATGCGGCCTCTTTCTTCACAATTTCAGGTTTCTTCATGGTGTGATCCTTTTTTATCATGGAGGGAGGCGGACCGTTGTGCGGATTTTCTGGTGGCCATCTGCAGTTTAGGAGGTCTTTTTGTGTGGTTTGTTTGTGTGCTGGTCTCCAAGGTTGGGCTTGAGCCATTTTCTTTATGTGTTTGTGCCCCAATTTTTTTATTTTTTATTTTTTATTTTTTTTGGTGCTTTACTTGTTTGGGCCTTTGTTGTACTTGTTTTGATTGGTAATGAAACTTACCTTTTATCAGGAAAGAAAAATAAAAAATAAAAAAACTAGATGGCTGTATTTTATTTTTTTTAAGATAACTGTAATTTGTCATTATTATTATGATCTAATGATATTTCTCTTTACTTGTAAATGAGAAATCTTGTCAAAGGCGAATTTGAACCATATTATTGTTAGCCTATTGTGAGGTATTAACTCACTTCTCCACTCCTTTACTATAGATAATATAGTTTGTTCAAAAAAAAAAATTAAAAAAAAGATGGCCGTAATTTGAAAAATCCATGATTAAAATTTGGATGTCAATAATGTTTTGAAAACTCAATTCCTAAACTTTAAGAAATCAGTTGGAGTACGTCGATTTGGTGGAGAAAGATCCCCACCTCGTCATCAAAATCAACGAAACTTGTCTCTCCAAACAGGTTCATACTGCAGCATATCGTAATCCTTCTTACTGGGACGTTGATACTACTGCTGCATCAGACTACAGAGAAGCCTCCACTGATGACTAGATCCGGGAACCACACAGCCCCGCCCCTTCACCGCCGGTAGATATTTTGCTGCCTAACTAGACGGCCGTAATACTTTATCGTAATCGAAACACTGAAGCTACTCTTCATTTCTATGTATATTTATGCAGGTCATGGGCAATAAGTTAAAAAAATGAAGCGAGATTGTTTATTTGTTCTTGCTAATCTTACAAATTACACAGCATAAAACAATGGCAATAAGTTAGTTGCAGTGCCTTCTCTTCAATGGTGCGATTTCAGGTAGATTTCCACCCTTTTACAGAAAAATACATCGACTTGTTTGCACCCGAATCCGATCAAAAACGCTTGTCGCCGATTAAGATCTTCCAGCTTGCATGGGGTCCTTCTCCGGTGTCATGTAGCGCAGGCACCCATCCAACGGCGCTCGTGATTTCTTGAAGCTCAGCAATTACAGATACCGAGTCACGTATGTAAACGCGTCTGCCAGGCCTCAGTATTCGATCCATCTCGAGCTTGATGGTTGAAATATTACACCTGTTCCCAACACAAGCAGGTTAATTGAAAATATATCTACTCTGCACCGCATGTAGGCAGACAAACAAACAAACACAATAGGCTAAAACTAAAGCACAAATTTACACCTCGTTTTCTCAATAGAGAAGAGACCGGCTGCCTGTATCAAATCGTATGTTCTCGGATAAGTGTCAAACGGCGTGTCACCTCCTAGTACTGGCTGAAAAATACCAAGTGCAGCATCTCAAGGTCCATTGCGAGAAGTTCTTGGTGTCAAAACTGAACTGGGAAAATTCCGTTTTGAGCTACACCTTTGCGCACCAGCACAATGCGAAGCATATCATTGACTCCGCATTGACATTGATCACAGACAACATGGACAAGCTTACTACCCGGGAGGAGTACGTGGAGCTGGTGGAGAAAGATCCACGACTTGTAGTCGAAATCTAAGAAGCTTATCTCTCCAAACAGGTGAATACTGCTGCCCAGAAGGATTCTTCCATGAAGACATAGGTTCGCGTTATCCCGACCTTAATCTAGGATACTTCTGTGAAGATATGATCATACGAGTTTCAAATTGGTCTTCTCTTTTCTTTGTATAATTAAGTAGATGAACTAGCTAGTGAAGATACAAATATCAAGTGGTAAACTGTTTGTGGTAGCACATGGTGCATTTTGGCGTGGGTGGCATCACTTTACTTAACCTCCAAGGCCCATGGCATCTGCCTTTCTCGCTGTGTTTTCATTGGCTTCTCTCTCTTTTGAACTTTCTTTTTTCTGTTGATGCAATGAGTCACATTGGATATGAATCCGGCATACGCAACATAATCGGTCAGTCATGATTAATTATCAAACAAACCATACCAAAAGAAATATTATTATACCGTAGTACCAGTGATGCTCCCTCAATGCCATTAGCCAGGGCAGGCCCACAACCTCATTCTTAAAACTTTCCACAAGGTGCACAATGATTGAAGTGGCAAGACTAGTACTAGTAGAGAGTCTACTTTTGTCTTTTGGTCAATATAGTGGAGTTGAGGATCACAATTCATGTTTGATCACCCACTCGGAAGAATGCAAAGGGAACGGTTCTTCTGCATATCTTGCGAAGGTAGTTCCGGCGGACATGGCGTCGGCATGTACTGCAAGGGGTGCTACATGGAGCTCAAGGATAAGATTGAATTTCTTAAGTTGTGCTCGCCGTCGCCGACCACTTCTACTACTACGTCCCTGGCAGCTTCCTTCTCCGACGTCGTTCTGATTGCCTTGGACTCTGACAACTGCTCTTCTGAGCCTCCGCTGGCCGTTCAGCTCATAAGGCCGTTCTGGTTAGTATCATTTTGCCAACCTTATGCTGCTTTACTGAATGAAGATATAAACATGTTTAAGGGATGTTTGCTGCTGCTTTTCTAGAAAGCACTTAGGCTCATAAGTGCTTTTGCTAAAACTAGTGTTTCTCTTAAATTTTCAAGTGTTTTCTAGAAAAAGCAATCCCTTGGACAAGTTGCTTTTACAAAGGCATATTTGTCAATTTACTCCCCAACTTGTATAGAGTTGTCAATTTTTCCTTTGAAATTTAATTTTTACCGATTAACCTACTTTTTATAATTAGTCAATTTCTCCTTTAAACTTTAATTTTAGCCAATTATCACACCTGAACTTTTATAAATAGCTAATTTTATCCTAGACGCTAGATTAAAAAAAAATCATCCAATTTTTCATCCATTTTGATCACGTATACAACACGTGACAACTATACGGGAGCAAAAAAAAATGAAAATTTGAATGGATGAAAACATGATGAAATTTTTTAAAATCTAACACTAGGGGAGAAATTTGCTATTTATAAAATTTTAGGGAGGTAATCAACTAAAGTTAAAATTCAGGGGGAAAATTAGGGGAAAATTGGCCAATTATAAAAATTCAAGGAGGTAATTGGCTACCGTTAAAGTTCATGGGAAAAGTGGAAGTCACTTGAGAGTTTTCATACCCAACACATTTAGGAGTGTTTTTTATTGTCATAAAGCACTTTTAAGACATTCTCAGCATGTTTAAGATTGCTAAAAGTGTTCTCACAATCAAAAGCGTTTTTAACCACATTAGGTTAAAACATTTAATTTAGAAGCACTCACTTGGACTAGCTAATGTCACAAAACTAATTTGGCTTATTGGTGGTTTGTTTACGTGTTTTGGAAAGATTTTGGTAAAAGTGACTGAAGTAGCTATGGCTATTTTGTTAGGAGGTGCTCTTAGGTGTAGAAATGGCTAAACAATATCAGATTTAGCCGGTTTTTCGTGTGGATAATCTTTGAAAGAGAATTTAAAAACTAAACGGTTCTAATCGATCAACGAATCAGGTGAACCGCTCTCCGGTGTTCAAAGCCATGCTTGAGAATGAAGAGATGGAAGAAAGTCGGAGTGGTACCGTTAAGATTGCCGATACGCGCTACGATGCCCTACAAGCTTTTGTCAACTACCTCTACACTGCTGAGACATGCCTTAACCAGAACTTGGCATGTGACCTCCTAATACTAGCTGAAAAATACCAAGTGCAGCATCTCAAGAACTATTGCCAGAAATTCTTGGTGTCCAAGCTCAACTGGGACAATGCCCTTACGACCTACGCCTTTGCCCACCCGCCATAACGCGGAGGACATCATGGACGCGGCCTTGGAAGTGATCACAGAAAACATGGAAAGCTCACTACCCAGTTGGAGTACGTCAATTTGGTGGAGAATGATCCCCAACTCGTCATCAAAATCTACGAAACTCATCTCTCCAAACAGGTTAATACTGAGTTACCCAAAAAAAAAAAGTTCCTTCCATTTATTTTGAGGAAAACTAATGAAAATGAATTCAAAACTTTGAGTTTTAATAATAAAGACAAAATAAAGGGTAAAGTGAATAGTACCAAGATTGACTTTTTAGTGTAAAAATGTGATTTTTCGTTAAAATGAACAGTACCAGGTGTTTTTCGTTAAAGTTCCCTTTATTTTGACTTTTAGTAACCATACAGCCGAGGTCTTGGAGTCGGATTTTCTCTTCTCTTATTTCTATCCTCTTCCCTCCCCTCTCATCCTCTCACACTTTTCTTTTTATCTTTTTTTTTTAATTTACAAAATATTCAAAACAAAATGTTTAAATAAAAGAGGAGAGAGACGAGGAGGAGGGGAGAGAATCCTCCTCCCCAGCCCTTCCCCCCGGTTGCCCTTTTGCTGCCTAAGTACACGGCCGTATTATTTTGTGGTCCCGGGTTCTCTCCCCTCTGAGAGCTTTTCTTTCCCCCGGTGAAAGTCTTTTTGAGAGGTTTCGTGGTCATCGATCTGCGTCGGCGCCGACCCATGGTTTTGCCGTGTAAATTGTTAATTTTGTGGTTAGTTTGTTTTCAGCTTTGTCTAGGCTTTCCTGAAGCCTGCAATTTTCCCTCCCCTTCCTTGCGGTCTTGCGTCTCTTCCTTCCTTCGCTAGTTTGCCCTTGTAATCATTCTGAGCCCTTTTTCCCAGTCACCCGTTTCCCACTTCCTATCCCCCTCCATCATCTTCTTTTGGCTCAATCATCTCTATCCTCAAGTCCGAGCGAATAACAGCTCTGTTTACCGCGATTTGTCGCGGATGTATAGGGCTTTGGCACCACCACTCTTGTTGGTCCTTCCCGCTGCTCGCCCTTGTCAGCGATGTAAAGGTTCACTCCTGCGTGCTTCATTGGTCTCGTGGTGGCGGTCCTGGTGCTGGTTCATGGAGGATGATGCGGCCTCTTTCTTCACAATTTCACGTGTTTTCATGGTGTGATCCCTGTTGATCGTGGAGGGAGGTGGATCGTTGTGTGGATTTCTGGTGGCTGTCTGCAGCTTCAGGAGGTTTTTCTGTGTGGTTTGTTTATGTGTGCTGGGCTCCAAGGTTGGGCTTGAGCCGTTTCTTTATGTTTGTGCCCCATTTTTTTTTTCTTTTATTGTGCTTTACTTATTTGAGTCTTTGTTGTACTTGTTTGGATTGGTAATGAAATTTACTATTTATCAGAAAAAGAAAAGAAAAAAAAACTAGATGGCCATATTTTTTATTTTTTAAGATGGCCGTAATTTACCATTTACCATTTAATATT